TCTGTGTGCAGTTTGGACTCTGTCCCCTCTCCCCCTTCTCTTATGCATGTATGGGCGTGTATGAGACTATCTGTGTGTGAGTGGCGGTAAAAATCGTCAGACAACCAAGTTCATAACAGTTGCTATCCGAGCGAGATTGGAATTGGAGCACTGAGGGTTGAGTGCAACGGGCATCTTCTTCATTTGGCGATATACTGGCGAGAGCTTCATGGCGATTCATCTTCCCCAGTACTGAGACAGCAGGGAAGAAGATTTCAAGCGGTGGATTCAGGAGTTCAGTGTTTGCACTGAGCCTGTCAGGGCGCTTGTCTGAATGTGGCGAGAACAGGGTCAATCCGCCATAGCCAACACTGAGGGTAGTGTAGTGAAGTACCCCTGAGTGGCGAATTACCCCTGGAGACTTCAGGAATTGTTGGGCGGCTTCATCCCTGAGCAGCGCTCAGGGAGATTGACAGTCTGTGTCAATCTCAGGATGAAATAACCCCATCTGGGGCTATTTATAGCATCAACGGATCTCAGGTCCTGTGGCGAGATTTTCATCAGTTGGTGATTTGGGTGCCACAGGGTCAGATTCAGTGAATCTGACATCAAGGGGTGCAGCGCTTCAGGATCCTGAAGGGGATCAACAAGTTTGAAGCAATTTTGTGCGTGGGATAGTGAGGAAGAAGCTCTGGAAGAAATTGGCGAGATGAGGGTTTCAGTCTGCCATAGCCAGATCTTCATCAACCTCTGCTAGATACTCTAAGAGTGAGTCCGTTCCATGCACCTACCTGTATAGCGATTCAGATAGGATTAGTTTAATTACTAATTATGGTCTATTTGTCTGTCATTGACTGGATGTGAAAATCGCAGACGGCAAGACAGCCATAGCCGTCTCTCTCCTATCTTCCTATGCTCATTTCTCATCCCACTCTTTTCAATCTAAAATTGTTCTGTGACTGCCTTACTGTATTGCGATTGATCCTGGATGCTCAAACTGTGAATTCGGTACTGGAAAGGTAGTGATACTGTGAATTGCAATTTTGCGCTGAGTTTATTTATAGCCTGTGCTACCTAGGGTCAGTCATAACTTCAATTCTGACCATCAGAAGTCAGTTTTGTTAGTTCCCAGTAAATCGCAATTCAAAAACAGTCATTACTGCAGAATCGCTTGATTGGATTTCTAGTATTTCACTGGAAACAGTGACTATTGCATTTCGCCATACCCTAGGGTATGGCAGCCAGAGTCATTAGGGCCGAAAATTGAGTCTGCGCTAGGATTCAGGGTTCCTGAGTGAATCGCTCTACCTATTTGATCTTTCTAGTCTGTACTTGCCATGTTGTATCATTCTCACTGACAACTCTTGTTTTCTAGTGGGCTTTGGAAATCTAGTGCTTCTCTGGAAGAGTAGTGGACTGTGGTTACTAACTCCAGTGTGGTGCAGGGTCAGTAAAAGGAAATCGTGTGCTTGATTTTGCTGGACTAACAGTCTATCTGATCCCTGACCCCAGAGAAACAGTTCCAACCCAAACCGTTTGTTTCCCACTCACCCACCTAACTTTTGTGCATGAGTTGGCGGCGATTTCTGAGTACCTGAAGGGATCTGTATATCGCTGCATACTCTCTGCTGTTTGCGTATTTTTGTGTCCTGAAAGAGCAAAATGGCTGATCAAGTTGCTCAGCAGCAGCCACAGGTAGAGGTAGTGATGAAGGTAGAAGGTGAACAGCCCACTACCTCCACCCCTACTACTCCCTTGACTGCTACTCAGCGAAGGAAGAAGGAGATCCAGGAAAGATTGCAGCAGGAGCAGGCCCTGCTGGACGAAGTGGACAGACAGGCGGCAGCCGAGCTAGAGGCTGCAACAGATGCTTCACGAAAGGAGTATCTGTTGTAGCAGCTTGGCACGGCTGTGTCTGATGACCGTTGCTCCCAGGTGAATAAGAACTTGGCGGAGTGGGCTTTTCTGGAGCACAAGACCACCACTTCTTATTTCACTAATTGGTATGACCGTAAAGGTCGTCTGGAGCGCAGGGTGGATGACCTGGCAGCTCAACACTCCAAGATCCTGACAGCAATCCAGGATCTGACTGTTCAGTTGACAGCAGCCAAACTGATCTCTCCCCTGTCTCCTGTTCCCTCAGTGAAACCTAAGCCTTCCTCTTCTCCCTCTTCCCTCCATTCTGGATCACGTCATTCCTCCCCTTCACCACCTCCTTCCCAAAAAGCCACAGCAGAGCCATCTTATGCATCTGTAGCTGCAGGAGACCAGAGAGGTCCCAAGATCCCAACTCCCAACAAGTTGAGAGGGGATGACCCAAAGACCGATGTTGGGGACTGGGCTGCTGGGACCCGAGCCTAATTGAGGGGCTTCGTCTGTGCAGAGCAGACTAAGGTGGCCACGATTCTGGGACTGCTAAAGGGACCCGCTTTGAAGTGGGCCACCTCAACTTCCAGCAGTCTGCAGCAATCCATGGAGGACTGGGTTTTTGGGCTGGGGGTGGACAGACTTCTACAGGCCCTGGAGGATCGCTTTGCAGACAAGGAGCGGGCCCGCAAAGCTGTTGACAAGATTGCTCGCTTGGGGCAGCAGTGTTACAGCGGTTCCCTGCAATCCTTGTTTGCAGAGTTCGAGCAGCTTACCTCCACCCTTGGGTTGGTCATGTTTGTTGATGATTTGCTGACCAACTTCTGCAGGGCTGCGCCTAAGAAGTTTGTTGTGGCCTTGTACAGCGTTGGGCACAAGGACTAGAGATCCTTTGGCCTCACAGCCCTAGACATGGAGGCCAAACTTCATGTCCAGGCCCCCTCCTCTAACAGGAGGAAAGGTGCCTTCCCTCGCGGTGGTAGAAAGGGAAAGGCAGCCTTCACACATGCAGGATCTGCGTCAGCTTCTGATTCAGATTCCCAGGTTGATACACCATCAGCTGGGACTGGATTCGTTGTTGAAACAGATGTTGCAGCGGCCCTGACTCAGGCTGTTTTGGGAGTTCTGCAGCAGCAGAAGAAGTTTTCCCCCACCACAGCCTCAGCTAGTGCAAAGGGGAAGGACAAGGGACGTCGGCCTTCCTCTTCCCAACGCCCTAACTTGCCCAAAGACGTCCATATGCCAGCTGACCCTCTCAATCCCTCCACTCTCGCCTGGCATGACCTCAAGATCCAGGAGGGAGTGTGGAGAAGAAGAAAAGAACGAGGGGTCTGCCTGAGGTGTGAGTGACAGCACTTCCTCAAGGACTGCCCCTACATGCCAGGCCCAGGACAGTTAAAAAACTGAAACAGACCCTGGGGACTGCAGTTCCCCCCAGTGTTGCACCTTCATCTACTCAAGTAGGTGAATCTGCAGCTGTTTAAGTTGAGACCGATTGTGAGAGTTTGGGGACTGCGCGGGCAGCATCCTGCTGTTATGAGGATCCTGACCCGGATCAGGACCCGGGGCAGGATGAGCTTCAGTCACTTGCTGCCTTCTTCTTCCATCTTAAGGAACAGAAGAAGCACAAGTCTGATCTCATCCTACTTCAGCCCCTGATCAACCACATCAGAATCAAAGGGCTTTTGGATTGTGGAGCCACCAGGAACCTTATATCTCCTAGTGTTGTTAAGAAACTGCATCTGGGGATGCAAGTTCAGCAGCTGCAGCAACCTTTGCTGGTCAGGATAGGTGACTCCACAGTGCTCTCCATCATGGAGAAGTTCAAGGGTATCCCTGTGACTTTCGATAGTGCTGGAGAAGTCAGACATCGTCTGAACTTCTACATCTTCCCTGACCTACACTTTGACCTGGTGTTCTCTATGCAGTGGTTGAAGGCAGTCAACCCAAGGATCGACTGGCAGATCCCAAAGGTTGAACTACCAAACAGCCAGGGGGTGTATCAGCCATGCATCATTGCTGCTGATCACCACCCTAAGACTTCTTGCTACTGCTTGAGAGCAAAAGAGTTTCTTTCTCTCTCGCGCCAGTACGATCATGAGCGTCTGTTTATAGCTCTGGTCAGCAGACTGACGCTCCCCCTGTTTCCTGTCCTCCTGAGATACAGCAGGTTGTAGACCGGTATGCTGATCTGATGCAGGAGCCCTTTGGGTTACCCAACCGTCCAACCAAGCATCGCATTGAGCTATTGCCTGGAGCGGTCCCTCCCAAGGGCCGCATCTACAGGATGTCCCCTGCTGAGCTTGAGGAGCTCAGAAAGCAGCTTGAGACCCTGACCAGCAAGGGCTGGATCAGACCCAACACTTCTGAATTCGGTGCACCCGTTCTCTTTGTGCCCAAAGGGAATGGCGAGTTCAGAATGTGCATTGACTACAGGGGTCTCAATAAGATCATTAGGAAGAGTACAGAGCCACTTCCTAGGATCGATGACCTTCTGGATATGGTGCAGGGCTGCACAGTGTTCAGCAAAGTCGACCTCAAATCTGGCTACCGCCAGATTGAGATGGCAGAGGAGGATGTCTACAAGACAGCCTTCAAGACCAGGTATGGGACTTACGAGTTCCTGGTCATGCCATTTGGACTTTGCAATGCCCTAGGTACCTTCCAGACAGAGATGCACCGCATCTTCAGGCCTTACCTGGACAAGTTTATGGTTGTCTACCTGGATGACATCCTGATATTCAGCAAAACTGCCAGGGAGCATGCGGAGAACTTGGCTTTGGTCCTTTAGTCATTACGCGACAGCCAGTACAAGATCAACAGAGAGAAGTCCTCTTTTGGAGTTCCCTCTGTCATCTACCTGGGCCACGTAATCTCTGGAGGTGGCCTGGCTCCTAAAGCAGCCAAGATTGTTGCTATTCAGGAGTGGCCTCAGCCTCAGACAGTGAGGGATGTCAGGTCCTTCATGGGTTTAGCCTCCTACTACAGAAAGTTTGTCAGGAATTTTTATGCAGTGGCTGCACCCCTGACCAACCTAACAAAGAAAGACACTCCTTTTCTTTGGTCCCTCCACTGTCAGCTGGCCTTCACACGACTCAAGAAGGCCTTGACTTGTGCACCTGTGCTGAAGTTGCCTGACCCCACTTTGCCATTATCCTGACCACTGACGCCAGTCAATATGGCATTGGGGCAGTTCTTCAGCAGGATGATGGGAATGGTCTACGGCCTGTAGAGTTTATRAGTAAGAAGATCAAAACTCAAAAGCTCTAGGACTCCACCTACGAGAAAGAGCTATATGCTCTTGTCTGTGCCCTGCAACATTGGAAGCACTTTCTCCTGGGAAGGCACTTCAAGATCTTCTCAGATCACTTCACCTTACAGTGGATGAAGTCCYAGGGAGAGCTAAATGATAAGTTGGCACGGTACATTCAGTTCATAGACATGTTTGACTTTGAACTGAAACATAAGAAGGGCTGCTACAACAAGGCAGCAGACACCCTCTCGCGTAGGCCTGACTCTTTTGCATTGATCTCCTCTACTCACTCCTTTGGAGAGGAGACCCGCCAGACCATCGCTCATCTACTGCCTCAGGACCCGACTTTTGGACCCATAGTCAGGAATCTGCAAGCAGATCCTAACTCTCAATCAGGCTATGCTATGAGTTCAGATCTGTTGTATACCTACAGCAGAGGGGAGGAGCGCTTGTGCATTCCCCAGGACCAGCGGCTCAGGACGCTACTGATGTCAGGGTTTCATAACGCCCGTGGACATTTTGGGTTCCTAAAGTCATATGCAGCCCTGTCGCAGCGCTTCTTCTGGAAGGAGATGCGGAGTGATATGCTGCGCTATGTGGAAATCTGCGAGCTCTGCCAAAGGAATAAGGTCCAGCGTAGGCCTCCTTTGGGACTGCTCAAACCCTTACCCATACTTGATGGCCCTGCTGAATCTGTGTCGATCGACTTCACAGATTTAGGCAAGACCACACCTCGTGGCATGCGCCAGGTTATGGTCTGCGTGGACAGGTTCTCCAAATACGCAGAGTTCATCCCCTTGCCAGAAGTGGCCAGAGTTCCAGCTGTGAGAGCAGCCTTTTCAGAGAGGTGGGTCACACACCATGGACCGCCCACTTCTATAGTCAGTGACAGAGATCCCCGATTTTGCAGCGATGAGTGGCAATCCTACTGTAAGGACTATCTGCACTCACGATTGGACATGACTTCTGGTCATCATCCTGAAGCCAATGGTAAGGCTGAAGTGATGAACCAAGTCTTATTCCAATTGCTGCGCCCTGTCATCTCTCCAGATCAGCAGGACGAGGATCTTCACTTGGCTCGAGCACAACTTGTGTATAACATGTTTGTCCATTCCTCGACCGGGTTCAGTCCATACCGGTTACACTGGGGACGTGAACCACGACAGCCTCTTGATGGCATCATCGATAAGGCCAAGTCTGCTCTGACTCCAGGCACTGCAGAGTTCACCAGACGCTACCGCAAAGATGTGGAAAGAGCACGGGCGAACTTGTTCAAAGCCCAAAAAGCGATGATTGAACAAGCTAATCGCCACAGGCAGCCTTCCCCCATCCGCACTGGTGATCATGTCTGGGTAGCCAGTTCAGAGTTGTCGAGGGAGGAGGATATCTCCCCCAAGTTGTTGCCTCGTTATTTGGGTCCATGGCAGGTCTTAGATACAGTGGGCACCGATCCATTCCGTCCGTCCTATGTCATTGACGTCCCTCTGCATCTACGCACCTACCCGGTCTTTCATGCATCCAAGATGTTGCCATTTACTCGAGCTGATGCATTCCCTGACCGGCCCCCTCAGTTTGGTCCACCGATACCTGGCAAGGGATATGACGTGGAGTGGATTGAGGATGAGTGGGGCATAGACCTCGATCGGCAGTATCTTGTGAGGTTCACATTCCAGCCTCCTTCAAAGAACAGATGGTTCTACAGAAGGGAACTTCTCAAGACAGCAAAGTCAGTTGTTTTGCGGTATGAAGCGGCTCAGAAGGGCAACCTCCCTCGTCGTTCACCTCGCCTCCATCCCTAGCTCGGAGGTCCTCGCTCCCCGAGGGGGTAAGCTTGCAATGACTTGCTGATTTCGACTGCCGAGACTGATTTGCGAGGTTGTACAGTGTGTTGTGTGCTTGTTCCGGTTGTACAATGTGTTGTGTATTTTGCTGTGTTTTTTTGGCCTGCACTGAGGGCCGCCCGCTATTCTAAAAATAGCTGGGACTAACAGCAGTAGGGGTTGAGTGGTTAGCGGCCCTAAGTGGCCCTGAGCCCTAAGTGCAGCAGTAGGACCGGTTTCGTAGAGGCCGAGTAAGCCCTAACTGAATCGCTACCGGTAGGCCCTAGGGTGGAGTAGTGTAGAATCTACAAGTAGGATAGGGCAGGACTGTTTAGGACTTTTGGCAGTTCATTTTTGCAATACAGCGTTTTGGAGCCAGGACGTTTTGCAGCGGCGATTGTCTGCAGCCGGTACCCTGAGACCCTCACCGTGGACAGTAGCCATAGCCAGCCTGTGAGGGCTTGCCATAGCTGGGGCATCCCCTACGCATCAACCCCGGTGGGTTTCTGCGATTGGCTGGGCTGTGTGGAGACTCCTCACTGAGTCTATGTGGGTGGCGGCAGCCATAGCTGTCGGTTTCTTCGTCAGAGTTGTTCATCGGCACTAAAGACTTCATCGTCGGATCTCTTCTTCATCTGGGTGGTTGGCGCTGGCCTCTGGGAGGCCAATTCAGTGTGGCGCTACTAACTGGGTGTAGGATAGAGAGTGGAGTGTGGAGTTCTGGGTGTGGCGAGATACTGGAACAAACTCTGTAACGATTTCTGGCTAATTGGCTCATCATCAGTGTGTATTCCAATTGTTATCCTCGCAGGTTCTTTCTTGTGATTGGTTGTTGGGAGTTTGTCAGAGAGTGCGAAACACTGTGTGTCTTCTCCCCATCTGTGCATAGTCGAATTCCGGTGCTTATCTCTGTCTGTGTGCAGTTTGGACTTTGTCTCCTCTCCCCCTTCTCTTATGCATGTATGGGCGTGTATGAGACTATCTGTGTGTGAGTGGCGGTTAAAATCTTCAGACAACCAAGTTCGTAACACATCATACAGCGAGGCAGATTCACAGCCTTGCTATGTCAAAACAGACAGTGGGGCCTCTTTTGGTTGGGTGGATGAACGCTCATACATCATACAGCGAGGCAGATTCACGCTCATACATCATACAGTGAGGCAGATTCACAGCCTTGCTATGCCAAAACAGACAGTGGCGCCTCTTTTGGTTGGGTGGATGATGCTCCGTACAATTGCTTGAGTGGCGGATGAGAGTTGTTCCCAGGCCGCCTCCTAGCCATGCTCTGCTGCAACTGGTGGCGGCGCCTCGTCTGCCCCAGACATAACGCCTACACTAAGTTTTGCAAGGTGAAATAGAGTTGTAACTACGGACAACAAGAGGACGGGGGCAACAAGGGAGACGGGTGTGCCAGCAATAATGCCCGATTGGGAGATGATGATGAATCTAACTGCTGCCACCTTCACAACCAACGAGACAACAATGAAAACATACACGTCCGACACCAACATGATAAGGATGGCGCTTTCCGTGACCTCTCTCCAGCAGCACCTGTTCAACCTTACCCTGTGGTGACAGCGCCTGGGGCTCATGCAAGCTTGGAGAGTGCCATCAAGTTGACGTCCGGAGACGGAGATGACAAACAACCTGAATTACAAAATGAGGGCAGCACCCTCTATAAAGATAAGGGGGAACTGGCCCGGAGCCTTCAGATCGACCGTTCGAAGTATTCGTGCAATGTACCTGGTTGCGAGGCAAAAACCCCGATGTGCCCCTTTCAGGCCCTGCCAAGCAGCACGTCGGCCGCCCTAAGTGAAGGCAGGCTCGACAGCCTGAGGGCCCTGAATTTTGGCCACCACGCAACTAAGGAAATTCAGGCAGTTGCGCAGCGCCAGTTGGTTGAGAGAACCTAGGCCCTGGGTCGCCTGTTTGCATGAATCAAAGGCAGGCCCTGGGCTGGATACGAGATGTGGGCCAGACACAGA